GAAGACATTCCGGCTCTGGAGGATGAACCACCTGAGCAAGAGGTTCATCAACAAGAGGAGGTGGGGAAGCAGGAAGGAAGGAAGGAAGGAAGGAAGGAAGGAAGGAAGAAAAGGAAGAAAAGGAAGAAAAGGAAGAAAAGGAAGAAAAGGAAGAAAAGGAAGAGGAGTTGAAAGAGGAAGAAAGGCAAGTCATTAAGATCGAAGTCACAAAGATGTGTGAGCTGATTCCTTCGAGATCAAAGGAGGAGATCACCAAGGCCATCATCAACATGTACATGAGGTTGAGGGCTGACGGGTACGTGGTGACCCAACTACATAGTGATTGGGGTGCTGAATTCCAATCAAAGGCGCTTGAAAGTTGGTGCCAGTCCCGCACCATTCTCCACACATATACGCCGGGGGATCAGCCCCAAATGAATGGAAGGTGTGAGGTCACGGTCAAACACCTGAAGGCGGCTATCAGGAGAACATTGCATGGCGCAGGAGCTCCTTTTGAGCACTGGCCATTGGCAGCCAGGTTCATCAACGAGAAGTTGCGCCAGAAACAGGTTGGAAAAGAGCAAAGGACACCGCCCTTTCTGTCCAAGGTTTTGGTGAGAAAGAGATACTGGAGGATGAAGGAGTTGGAGCCCACTCAAGAACAAGTTCTCTATTTGTGCCCGTCATGGGTTCATCATGGCCATCGGGTAGAAAGACCACATGGAACCCAAACTCTTACAAAGATAAGACCAGATGGAACCCAAACTCTTACAAAGATGGTCATGCATGGCCGGTCCGAACCTCCCACTCTGGAGACTTGGGAAGATGCACTGAACCCCATTGAGGAGAGAAGGAGGTTGCGTCACAAGGCATCAATCTACAAGATCGAGGCGGGAGAAGGTGAAGGTGGGTCGGAACCCGAGGGCGTAAGGGCAGAGGTTGAGAATGCAGAAGTGTTGGAGCAGGAAACGTCCCAGCTCCGGCGAAAAGAAAAAGTGAGGCGTTTGATTGAGGAGGAGATGGTTGAGGCGATGGATGATGATCAACAAGTAGCAGGAATGGTCTTCGACGGTCGGTAGAAGAGTGGCGGCCATCAATTGAGAAGGAGCTCACTTCACTGTTTGAGACAAAAGGAGCTCTCAGACGAGTCAGTGAGTCTGAGGTGAACAAGTTGGTTGAGGAGGATTTGGCGGAGGTCATCCCTAGCAAGTTGGTTTTCACAGTGAAGCCTGACCAGTCACAGAAGGCTGGAAAGAAAAAGACCAGATGGTCGCCTGTGGCAACTATTCAGACCGCGAAGGGTCACAAGACCTGTGTGCTGGTGGAGCAACAGCTGCGGCGCTCAGAGAAGCTCTGACCATTGCTGCTCAAATGGGATTTCTTGGATCAGTCATGGACGTGCGCACAGCCTTCCTCAATGCCCCCATGCTTTTGAATAGTCAAGAAGGGCAGTCACCGAAAAGGGCCTTCATTAATTAGGCCACCAGCTCTTTTGGTTGCAGCCGGTTTGGCAAAACCTGGGGAATACGATGAGGCGATTATGGAACTATGGATACAGAGAAAGTCCTCGATTGTGGTCTGATTATCGCGATGTGGAGATGTCCAACATGGAGATTGATTGTCAAGGAGGTGTCTTGACACTACAACAGATGATTACAGAACCCAACATGTGGAGAATGATGCTCTGACAGCCAGGACCTCTTGAAACAACACAGGCCGAAGAGTTTGTGGGTTTGGTCCTCGTCTATGTAGGCGATTTGCTTGTCTTGGGTACGCCTGAGGCCCTGAAGGCCATGATCTCTGGGGTGAGCCAACGAGGTGAGGTTTTTGGGAACAGAGCCCTGGAGGAGGGAAGATGGAACTTGGCTCATGACACAGGCCAACTACATCAAGGATCTCCTCAAACAAAACCTTGGAGGAGAAACATCTTCTTGGCACGCCAGGAAATCCCACTTGCCAAGGAACCAGAGGTCGTTGACAATCCAGAAGAAAAGACAGCAGCGAATGTCAAAGAGGCACAGAAGGTCGTAGGAGAGTTGGTTTTGGATCACTGCAAGAACACATCCAAATCTAGCTTTTGTTGTCTCCAAGTTGGCGTCATCACAAAGTCCCCATTGCAGGTGGTTTCTTTGGTGAAGTCTGTTTGGCATTATTTAGCTGCGACATTTTCACATGGTTTCGTGTTCAAGAACGAGGAGGGCAAACGACAATTGAATGTCTTCACGGACGCCTCCTACAGTGATGTGTCATTTGGGTGCCATTTGGTTCTTTGGGGATCATCCTTGCTGCTTTGGAAAGCTGGTAAACAGCCTGTTCAGGCAGCTTCCACTGCGGAATGGGAGCTGGTGGAAGTCTTGGAGGGATCGTTGGCTGGGGATGCGGTGAAGGTAGTTTTGGAGGAGGCACTGGATGTGGTGGCTCGATTTTTTTTCTGTACTGATTCATCAGCAGCGGTGTCGATCATTGCAGGGGAATCTGGGTCGTGGGGAACAAGGCATCTTCGCAAAAGAGCATATATTTTGAGGTCCAAGGTGCTGTCAGGCGAATGGCTTTTGAGACACGTTCCAGGAGCAGACATGTCAGCGGATCTAGGAACCAAAGTTTTGTCGGTGCAGAAGTTCAACCAACACAAGGAGGCGATGGGAATGTTTGTTGGAATGCTGGAAGTGGAAGAGGAGAATCACAAGGAAGGATCGCATCAAGCAGGCATTTCACAGAAGGCCAAGGAGAATGCATTGAAGGCTATCATTCTAATGACGAAACTTGCTCTTGCGAAGGGTGAGGAAGTTTCCACTGCTTTGATTGTGAGAGATTCACAACCAATTTTGCCGAGTGCCAGCGACAGAAAAAGTTTTGCACCTCTTATTGTGTTTGCGGCTGTGATCTTTTGCATTGGAGTTTTGGTCGGAATCTGCATCATGGGCATCTTGCTTTGGAAACAAGTTGACAGGGTGACTCTTGTCAACTACAAGGGATCGTTCGTGAACGCACCAGTGTTCTTTTGGGTATGCTTTGAGAGAAGCCGAGCTGAAAGCACAAGAAGTAATGATGATGCAACCTTTGCCAGGAGAAGATCAGTTTCGTCGACTGCTGAAGCGTCTTTTGCGCCGAGCGCTCTGCATGCGGCTAACTCGGGTGACAGCACTGACTGCTGGTTCTACCTCGAGCGCTCTGCATGCTGCTGGCTCGGGCACTGCTGGTGCTACCTCGAGCGCTCTGCATGCGGCTGGCTCAGGTGACAGCACGGTGCTACCTTGAGCGCTTCGCGAGCTGCCGACCCCAATAACAGCACGGCTGCTGCTACATCGAGCGCTGTGAATGGGGCTGGCTCAGGTAACAGCGCGGCTGGTGCTACCTCGAGCGCTTCGCGAGCTGCTGGTCCAGGTAACAGCACGGCTGGTGCTTCCTCGGGTGCATCAAGAGCTGCTGGCTCGAGCGATGGCACGGCTGGTGCCTCCTCATGCTCCAGAGGAGCGGCTGGCGCTGGCAGCAGGTCGAATGAGCAGATTCGCAATGCGAGGTCAAGACGACCTTTAGCTCCGGACAATCTTAGGACTTTGTACACCGCTCCATTTGGGGGGAAGTACCATGTAGATAGGAACTGTCATGGACTTAGGAACGCAAGCCAGATAGCAGTGACACCACGATGCCCACGTTGTGGTCCTCAATCGGAGATCCCACAGTGGGAGTTGTATGCAATTGGGCATGGATATGAGTTGCATGTCTCATATGAACATTGCAGGGATTATTCCAATGGGCCCCTGAGAGCGTTCGATCCATGTGCCATTTGCTGAATTTGCGAGAATTATGCATTTCGAGCTTGCGTGGCATGGCGGGCGTCGCAAGGCCCAGTAGTTCGGAGGCCAAGGAAGGTTCCAAATTATCAGTTTAAGTCGTTAAATTGTTTCAAAACGGATCAAAAGGTTCTGAACTTTTGTCTTAAGAAACAACATGAGGGACCCAATGATGGTCATGATGGGATCCTGCACACTTTGGCCTTCCAGACAGTAGCTCGGATCCAAGTCCTCTGCAAGCCTGTCATCCAAGCTGCTTCATGTTGTCCACCGCTGTGCATTGCAGCCAGCTCCAAAGCTCCAAAGGATGCAGCCAGCCACAAAAAAAAATGTGGACAGGGAAGGAATGAAAGCCTGTTGGGGGATCTTGATGGAGCAATGGTGGGAGCCATGGAAAGCAAAGGGATGCAAAAGGAATCAAAGGCCCAACGCTGCAAACTCATCGATATGTATCGCATGTCTGAGATCTAGATCTTGCACGGTGGAAGGCCACGCTCATGTTTTGAGCACTGCATGGGAGGTGGAATCGGTGGAAACATGCTTTGCTCCCTTTCAGATCGTTCATTTTTCTTGGCTCCAGGATGTTAACCTTGTGTTTTTGTTTGCTTTGTTCTTGTTCTCCGTCTTTGTCTTTTGCCTGTGCCCCAGTTGCCTTCAGTCCTCCAAATGTGGCTTGAAGAGCATCAAGAACCGTTTGCACGTTTTTGGTTCTCAAGATTCCAGCGTTCACTTTGCTCTTCGGTTCCATTCATCAAACGCTTCGAAGTCTGATAAGCTGGTTTGCTGATGTTTGCTGTTGCTGTACGGTATCCTTTATTGAATCTTCGCTGGCTTGAATCGTCGCTGGCTGGAGTCTGGTAAAGTGGATCTAGTGATGAACTCGGCTAAAGACAGGATTAGCAGTGCATGATATGAAAGGGCAGCCCAAAAAGTGCCCTGAAAAGGCATACAGTACAACTGTTACAGTAATTTGATGAACCGACAATTACTCCATTCCCATTATTCCCGGGGATTCTAAGGCCCATTCCTGAAGACTTTTGCACCTGCAAATCACTTTTTTTTTCAAAACAACACCAGACTGCCAGACTGCTAGATTAAAGATAAATCAAACTGTCCAAAAAGGTTTTGTACTTTCTTTTCGTGCGAGTTCTTTCTAGAAAACTGCAACGCCGCCTAGTGTAGAAAACAACCAATGGGGATATTTTGCTCAATCTTCAGGCCAGTGTCGCTGGTCAGACCTCTTGAACCCTTGCTTGGATTTCGGCCAGAGAAGAGGGCATCCAAATTCTCCGACTCCTTTTCAACCGTGGACATGGAACTCTCATGTGACTCTCATGTATTTCACATCTCAAGCCACAGCTTCGAAGAAGCAGACATGGCAGGACACTCGCAAACTGTTGAGTCTTGCGTGCACACAAACTGTTGTTTCTATCTATATATATATAGATATATGAGTTATTACATTTGTGTTCATTTACAGGATGTCAAAATTATGTCATTTCGAATCTCGGTGCATGTATATTTTGTGTGTTCACGTGGTCCTGGAATACACTGGTCAGTCGAAAGGACTTGCTCTTGCCGCTTCGCCTCACTCTTGATGGTCCAGGTCCTGCTGCACTCATATCTGGTGACAAACGGGGATCAAAAATAACAGTAGAATGTAGAAGAAACACATAGAAGCACCATGTTCAATAAATCACCGTTGCTCATCGCAGCCATGTGCTTCAGCCAGTTTATTTCCATAACCTCATCATCACATTACAATATCTCACAGTATCAGCAAATGTGCCTTTACCTCATGCATTTTGTGGCTAGGAGAAAATCACTGGGGATCTCTGTTCATCCTCGATCAAAGATGAAAATTAAATGTCAGGGAATGCTCAACCCGGAGTCCTAGAGGAAACTCGTGAAAAATGTATAAAACTCGTTTTTAAATGTATCCGTGATATTCTGCGACAAAACTGTGACCTGGTGGCGGCTTCGGGGTAGGACACCTTTGAGCTTTGGGTTTGACCTTTGCGGCCTCAACAATTCAAACCGTTCAAAGCCAAAAAATCTCCGAAGCTCTAAAGCTACAAGAGGAATCAGGGCAGCCAAGGTGCTTCAGCTTGCTAAACTTGCATTGTTTTTGATAGCAAAATGTCGTGTAAAAAATCATGTCAAATCAAGAAGCCAATTGAAGACGCAAAGCCAAGGCAGCTACAGGCTGGGTTGACAACAGGAGGTCTCCAGCCAAGTGAACTTGTCGAAACACCTCCCAACTATTTGGCACGTAACAATATGGCAATATGTACAATGTAGATCAAAGTGTTGTGATCTCTTGTCCCGCAGATTCTCACCGCAATTCATGCGTTTTGGTTCTGGGGTGATATTGATATCAAGATGGAAATTAAGTAGAATTGGACGTCTTTCTCAAGGACTCCGCAAAATGCTTGCAAAATACCTGCTCAGACATCTGCTCCTTTTGTTGGGAAACAACGGACAAGAATTGCCAATTTCAAGAAAAACACGTGACTGGCAACAGGATTGCAACAGAATTGCTCGTTCAGTTCTTCCGTTCGGTTTTGAACAGCTTCGCAGCACACCAAAGCCTCAACATCTCCGCCTTTGTCTGGATGAGCCTTGCGATATAATGAGAACGACAAAGCTTCAGTATCATCACATTGAGAACCACAAGGTATTCAACACCCTTGAACAAACAAGTTGAGCTTCTGAGATCAGTAAATCAAAGCTTCCACCTGACTACACACAGATACAGACTACAGTATCTCTCCCCTAGGCTACCTGCAGCCTTGTGACATTTTATAAAGGAAGACCTCCTACTCTACCATGGTCTACGTGGTGCCGGGATGTCTGGCTGTCCTGTCTGGCCTGCAGAAGCTGCTGGCGGTAAGCACTTCGGATTGTGGCGGGGTCCTTCTCTCCAGGCGGAAGACCCAGCACCGCAAAGGCATCCGACAACTTCATGGCACAATTTCATGATGTCCCTGCATTCTTAGTATATGATGTGCACATGATGTCCACATGCTCTGCATGTCATTCAATCTTGCTGTGGGGCTGAGAAGCTGTACCGTGCAGGTAGAGATCCAAAAAAAATGTCATACGGATGCGGAATTGTTACATCTGCACATCCTTGCTGCAAAAACCTGTGAACTGAGACGGAAACCTATCGTATTTCAAGAAATGCAAGAAGCCAACGAATACAAGAAACAAAATCCGTTAAAAAAAAAAAACTCAATTCAGGGAACTTGTTTTTGCCTCACCTTTTCTAGCAACATTACGTTGTTTTAATAGCCAGGTATCCCGATAGGCTGCCAGGTATTGTTCGGTACTCAAAGTCTTAGAAGTTGTAGAGCAGAAGATCTAAGATGATCTAAGAGCCACAAAGGGAAACACGGCAGGAGTCAACGGAGTCAACGCAAGCTTCTACTTTTCGCATCCTTTGATTCCACTTTGAATCCACCGATCAGTTCGCAAGCTCTGACCAATGCTCTGCGGTTTATCCACAAGGTACTACGCGCCCAACAAAGCGACCAAGAACTTGGCTCCGCACGTGAGCCTGCTCCACTGATCTTTCCCTCATCTTTTGTCCACCGCCACAAGTCCGATCACATTCTGACCAGAAAGCCCATTCCTGAGAGGTGGGTCGAAAAGGCAGAGATTTGGCATATTGAAATCACACATGAAAACATTTTAGCAGAATCAATGACAGAGGGCAGCAAGCAGAGCTCCATGCTCCCAGCAGGCAAGGCTGGTCCGGCCTGTGCAAGTAACGCTATGACTGTTTTTCCTCGCAATAAAGATGTCATGATGCTCCAGCCTTGAGATTATAAGCCCCAGTGACAGAAAGCCTACACTATCCGTCTTTTCTCATCTTTTCTTGGTTTGACTTTGGCTTTGTTTGCTTGGCCCGGTAGCAACTCTCTTCATGGGCTTTGTTTTGCTCTGCTGTGCACCTGATCTTGGGCTTAGTCTCGATCAAGCCACCAGGGCAGTCACCTCATATGCGTAGAAGTGCAATGTGAAGTCCAGTACAGTAAGTAGATGCCCACTGCTGCACTGCTGCACACTGCTGCACTGCTGCAATCTGTATCCAAACAAGTCTAATTTTGTCTATTTATATATATATGTGTGTGTGTATGTGTGGTATATATCTATATATTTATTTTAATGGGTGAAAGCTTCCACAATAATGCAAGAGGGCATAACAGGCCGTTGCGACATTACGGTGCAAGTATAACTTATATGTATACTGTATATACATATATTATATATATATATACCTCCAACTCTTGTGCAAGGATAAACGGTCAATCCTGCTGCATCGGGGAGTCACAATGAAGGTACCATTTTGCAACATTGGTATACATAGATATCATTGCTCGTTTTCTGTTGACAAATTCGACTATGTCAAATCGCACTTGCTTTCAGAAAACAAAGGTGCAATAGAACGGCGAATCGCACACATCCATCTGTGCGGACATCTGCATGCATGCAAATGATTAAACATGCGCAAACAGTATGCAAATGGACGTCATCATGTATTTCACTTGCAGGGCGTGAATTGAGATGGAAATTCCAAGAACACCATACAATTTACATGCATAAGAAAGCTGCTAGATATATTTCTGAATGATTTGTCTGAGTCTGAACCACACGAAATGCAAGTTCGGAGTTCGGTGGATCAGCTTGCGCACGACTAGACAGTCATGGAGTAGGTCACACGACCATGTCCAACTTTGTAGGGATGCCACTTCCGCCAATACCAGGTGGAACCAAAACGGTGCGCTTGCGGAACCTTGGCATCCGAAGCACTGGAAAAACACCAAGATGGCCAGGCAGCAAAACTTAGGTCGCAACCACTGGTCTGTTTGAGGAGCATCTTCCTTCCAAATGCTGCATTTTTTTGCTGCCACTTGGCTGCCACTTGGCTGACACTCGGCTGCCACTGACTGTTTTGTAAATTTCAGGGGGGTGACAAGCTGAAGTACCTTCTGCGTAGGCATTCATATCCACACTGTGTGGCGACATCACAGCAGTAGCATACAGTAGCCAATGCACGGTTCTGTCATGTTAAACTCTGCGGCTGCGTAATCCGATTGCGTTGTGCAGCTGAGGGTTGTAAATCGCAGTGTGATGGCTGTCTAACAGCTGCGAATGGTGCTTTGGCAGCAGAATTTCTTCATTTCGGTGTTGATGAGTTTTCGTTTTTTGGTTTGAAGTGCTTCAAAATCTTCGTTTTTCTGCTTGGGCGTCGAGATTCGGTTTTGGAGCTGCAATTTGTGTAGCCGTTGTCCTTGCTGCTGCGGCTGCGTGCGTTATACTATTGTGTTTTGCAGCTGAGAGTCGTAAATCGTATTTTAGTGGCCGCCTGAAGGTTGCGAATGGTGCTTTGGCAGCAGATATTTCTCAATTTTGGCGCATCCTGTGTAGCAGCTTCTCTGTGTAAAAGTTTCTCTGTGCAAAAGTTTGCTTTGTGTAAAACCTTCTCTGTGTAAAAGCTTGCTGTGTGTAAAAGTTTCTCCATGTAAAAGTTTGCTTTGTGTAAAAGTTTCTCTGTGTAAAAGATTGCTGTGTGTAAAAGTTTCTCTGTGCAAAAGCTTCTCTGTGTAAGAGTTTGCTTTGTGTAAAAGTTTCTCTGTGCAAGAGTTTTTCTCTGTGCAAAAGTTTGCTCTGTGAAAAAGTTTGCTCTGTGTAAAAAATCTTCTCTGCGTAAAAGTTTCCCTGTGTAAAAGCTTGCTGTGTTAGCTTGCTGTGTGTAAAGTTTGCTTTGTGTAAAAGCTTCTCTGCGTAAGAGCTTCTCTGTGCAAATGCTTGCGCTGTGAAAAAGCTTGCTCTGTGTAAAATCTTCTCTGTGTAAAAGCTTCTCTTTGTGTAAGAGCTTAATGTGAAGCTTCTCTGTGTAATTTTTTGCTGTGTGTAAAAGCTTGCTTTGTGTAAAAGTTTCTCTGTGTAAAAGTTTGCTCTGTGAAAAAGCTTGCTCTGTGTAAAGGCTTCTCTGTGTAAAAGCTTCTCTGTGTGAAAGTTCCTGTGTGTAAAAGCTTCTCTGTGCAAAAGCTTGCTGTGTGTAAAAGCTTGCTGTGTGTAAAAGCTTCTGTGTTTAAGCGCTTCTCTGTGTAAGAGTTTCTCCGTGTAAAAGCTTGCTCTGCGTGTAAGCATCTCTGTGACAGGAGGTGAGAAGAGTTGAGAAGAGTTGGCCAGAGTTGAGAAGGTGAGAAGAGTTGAGATGAGCTGAGCAAGAGGTGAGATGAGTTGAGCGGAGGTGAGAAGAGGTTGGAAGAGTTGAAGAGGTGGAAAGAGGTGAGAAGAGGTAAGACGAGTTGAGAAGAGTTGAGAAGAGTTAAGACGAGGTGGGCAGAGGTGAGGGCCGTTGAGAAGAGCCGAGAAGGGCAAGGAAGAGGTGAAAAGAGTTGAGCTGAGGTGGGAAGAGATGAAACAACTTTGAGAGCTGTTGAAAAGAGTTGCAAAAATTGAGAAGAGCTGCGATGGTCTGAGAAGAGAGAAGAGTTGAGAAGTGGTGGTCACAATTGAAAAGGGGTGAGGCAAAGTGACGACGAATTCACAGAACAGAGTTGAGAAGCTGTGAGGGTCCGCTGCATCTCCTATAGGCAAACCTTGTCTTTGGATCCTATAGCGTTACACTTCTTAAACATGGAAACTTCCGCCACCCGCCTTGCGCGGGTTCTACTTGTATAGATATCATAGTGCCTTCGATCTTGAAAAGCACCAGAAGACGCTTGATGCTGATACAATGCGTGCAGATTCACTCCGTCAAAAAGCATTTAAAAAAATTGCTCCGAATGATAGGGAAACTTGCGAGAGGCCAACATGCATGGTCCTGCATAATGAATACACCCAAAGAAATGAAATGATAAGAAAAGTTCTCTGGAAAGTGTGTCAAACAAACAAAACCTAGTGGCAGTGCCCCGAGGCCACAGCAAAGCAACAAAAAACAGCAAATCATTAACTCGGATTAATCCGGGTCAACGGAGTGAAGTCTGTCAAAAAAACTGAGTGAACTCGGAGTCTGGTCCTCTGTGGGATTTACGAAGGACCACTCCGACCACTCGCTGAGTTGGCAGTCCATGGAGTCACATGGCCTGCGCAGAGTTCACACAGCTCCAACGCAAATTCAAAGATGAAAAAACATTTTAAAAAAAAACTGAAAAGAGCGCGAAAAGTGGAAAAGTGAAAAGTATGTCTGTGAATTTCGTTTCAAATGGGCTGGCCTCACTTCACAAGTTTCAGTCTCGTGGATCACACCCTTAGTTTCACAGCTGATGATTCGTTTCGCAGCAGCAAATTTGAAGTAAACAGGCTGTAAATAACCTTAGGCACACTTGTCCTCGAGGCAGTCGCTTGAAAGGACCCATGTCATTTTGCGAGAACGTGCTCATAGGCACCGAAAGTTTGCACTGGATTCCCAAAAACCCGAGGGAAAGTTCGAAGCTGCTTTGTCGTGCTTTCCTTTCGATGCGGATTGACATCCGATGCATGAAATAAAATTCCAAGCGTCTAACTGTTTCAGCCACACAGTATGTCCCATCACGGACTTGCTTAATAAGGTGCTCCCCAAAACGGAGCCATTAAAATGAAAAAAGAAACATGTTGTTGAGGTGAAGCGTCGCATCGTCGCCAAGATTATCAGCCCTCCTTCACACTGAACATGTGATCTCACTAAAGTACTAAGATTCACAAAGCATATCCCCCAGCGAACCGACATATTAATAGAAGGGCCACCATTTCTCCACCATTTTCTCGGGAAGTTCTAGCTTTACGCGTGATATGTCTGTTGACAGGGTAAGTGTTCATTCACAGATGTTTTGCTCTTCCTTTCAACAACAACAGTCAACAATCGGACATTTTCCAGACACAATTTGGAACTGCTAAGTCTGCTAAGTGAAAGTCACAGCGCAGCTGAACTGCCCCATGCTCAGAAGTTTTGCAAATTTCAGGCTCTCTTCACTCCGGGTTTTTCTTCCTCAGATTATCTGACGCAAACCACACTACATGGCACCCTGAGCTGACCACGTCACAGGGACGGCCATCATGAAGTGCCTCGCGTCACTCAACTTTCAGCGTGCATTGCATGCTACCAGACAGCTACCAGGCAGCTACTGAAGCTTCTCATTCGCCTCTTGAACGACTTTCCGAAAACGAGAATGTTCGCCCGGACCTGGCAAGTTTCACCCTAAGGGAGGCACATGGGCACATATCACTTCACATGCCAACATGAAGCAACATGAAGCAACATGAAGCAACATGAAGCAACATAAAGCAACTTGCTCATTACTTTTATTGAATATGATAGTATGATCATCTCAAAAAGGGTTGCGCAAGTCTTGCAGAGAATCGAATCCACCTTTGTCGGCTTAAGGATCTTAAGGTGCCTGGGTTTGGGCTATTTTCTGGAGGGCTCCGTGTTTCTCAAAAACTTCGGAGGAAAAGAAATTGACAAGCTGAGCAGGCTGAGCATCGGGATCCTTCGTATCCGTGCTCTCAAACCATTGACAAACCGGTGCCTCCCAGGCCTACGCTGCATACATGGCCT